AAGAACTGTATCATATTGATCTCTGTCCATTGCAACTTGTAAATAGCAATGACTTATACTTTTGGGTTGAATTTCCTAAAAAATGGATTTAAAACAAGTCTTAACATGGTTGACATTCTTTTTCACTGCTATATGCTGCATCTTTGTCACTTTAAAATTTAACGTTAAGAAAACATTCTCCATATGGCCAATTTCTATTCTATTTTTATAAATATTATTGCTTCTGATTATACTCCTTCCCAAATTATCATGTTAACACCCTTGGGTTCCTGGATTTCTGGATGCCTTCTATCTCTACTACTCAGTTGTCCTCCTCCTTTATCTGTTTTTGAAAGATAAATTGTACAGCCCTAGCTGGTTTGGCTCAGTAGTTAGAGTGTCCGCTTGAGGACTAAAGGGTCTTGGTCAAGGGCACATACCCTGGTTGCAGGCTCGATCCAGGGCTCTGGTTGGGGCACATGCAAGAGGCATCCAATCTATGTGTCTTTCACATCCATATTTTTCTCTTTCTCCCTCGACTCCTTGCACACTTTGAAAAGCAATGGAAAAAATATCCTCGGGCGAGGATTAAAAACATATATATTAGTTCATATGTTCTCACTCTCCCCCAGCCCACTTCTCATTTTAGAATGAGATTGACCAATTTCTCTGATGGTCCTTTTTAAAATTAAATTTGTTGTTTTTCTGAATAATTGCATTTTGTGTCCTTTCTCTTTATAACATTTAATACAATGCAATCTTCGCCATGGTGACAAATTTCTAGCTGAACATTTTCTTGTATATGAAATGCATCATACTTTTAGGTCAAGGGGAAATAAAATGAAGCCAACATGTGTCAGTTACTTTATTGAGTCCTTTTCTTATATTATCGTGTTTAATTCTTAACAACAACCCTCTGAAGTATTAATTACCTCTGTTTTACTAATTTGAAAATTGAGGCTCAGAGAAACTTTATCATTCATGGTCTCAGTATTCCAGCTCTAGAGAATATACTCTTTGTACTGTAGTATATGACCTGGAAGATAATGGTGCAGACTTTTGAATACCATTTTACCATTCTATAATATCACCTTGGAATCACTTATATATAACTTTCTCATCTGAATTTAAGACCTTCAGTGTCTTGGATGGTAAATAATAATTCTCCACACTCTATTCGTTGTTGGTCTTACTAAATTGATACTTGTTTAGAATGTATTTTGTAGCATATTTGTGAAGTTTCTAAAAGTTTATGTAGTTTGGATAAGTAATGTGCATTTGAAAGTGTAGGACAACTTACATTAGCCTGAGGCAGTCTGTTGGGTCTCCTGGTGACAATATTTCCAACTCTGTGACACTCACCTTTTTTTTTAAGAGTTAAAGCCAGGGCTCTGGAGTTTGGTGTCCTCCTCCTTTTCTTTCGATATTGCTTTAGGTTTCAAAGATTATTTTATCCCTACTTTAGTCATTGCAATCAAAATTTATCTTCTACTTCTATTATGAGAGCTGAATGAGCATGATATGTTTCAGGAACAGGAAGAAAATCATGGTACTGATCTGTAGAGTAAGGGACTAGGGATTGTAGCAGGACCAGAAGAGCGCAGGCAACAGATCTTTCGGGCCTTGTCAACCAGCGTAAGTTCAGACTTAACCTAGTCCCATGGGAAGCTAATAGAAAGCTTGAAAGTAAGGGGAATAGTTTGATATCCTTTTTGAGGTTTTAATATTTTATTCCACAATAAATGGAAGACTCTAAAATGTACCCATTAAATTGCTAAAATATAAATTGAATAAAAGAAGTCTAATTTATAGTGGACTCACTGTGTGATTATAGGCAGGTACAGAGATTTTTTCCACTTTACAGTTAAGGCTCTTAAAAGCTATTTTACACTTTGGAGTAACATGACGGATCTTGAAACCTTGGAGTTAATCACATTCATTTCTTCATCCTGATGGGAAAAGGTCATTAAGATATTCCTAAAACTTTTTTTTTCCAGATGAGTTTTATACATACAGTCACAATTTTTTTTATTTTTTCTTCGTAAGATTATGTTGAATATAGGATGAGCAAAGTATTTGAAAATTCTTGGTGTATTGTAAATTTAATGTACCTGTATTCCGCATTTATAAAGTTTCCACTGAATATAAAATGCAATGGGATATTTATCAGTAAATAGTGAATTAGTCATTACCTATAATCAATAGGTAAATAATAATTTCCAACTACAGTTGACTCTTGAATGACATGGGTTTGAACTGTTCAGGTCATTTCATACATGGGTGTTTTTTTTCCCCAATAAATACTGAAAACATATTCTTTCATGATTTACTTTAGTAACATTTTCTTTTCTCTAGCTTATGTTAGTATAAGAATACAGTATAGAATGCATACAACAGTTTTGCAAAATATGTGTTAAATCGACTATTTATGTTACTGGTGAGGCTTCTGGTCAGCAGTAGGTCTTTGCATTTGGAAGACTTTATATTGAATGTTGGGCAGTGTCTATAAACCTTGGCTTTTTAGTTTCATGACTGGAATATTTTGTCAACAAGACAGTATTATAATTGTTCATGAAGGCAAAGCAAAGATAGTCCTCAGTTTACCTGAACATTGTCTCTGCTTCAGTTTTCTGGAGTTTCCAAAAGCCCATTTATACTACAACTCAATATAATTAAATATGAGAATCTTATAAAATTTTAAAGTTTTGAAGGGAGAAATTTGTATAGTTTGAAACGTTTGCATAACACCAGATAGACCTCATCTCAACCTCTAAGGATGCATTTTTAGAAGAAGCCAACAGTCTTATTCCTTGACTTGGGCTCTTGCTTCTGACTTTGTATGGATAACTAGAAACATATTAACTCCTTGAACAGTGTATTCCTGTCTTTACCAGTTCTAATAGGTAAGCACATCTAACTAGCTTTCTAACGGGCAGCAGCACAAGACCTTAAAATCAAATGTATCTTTTACTAGTTTGTCTACATGTTTAAAAGTCCATGATAGCAGGAGTCAGAAGATACTTAATATTTATTAAGCACTTTTCATACATGTGCAGCGCTGTACTGGACACTACCCTCAGTGAATCTGCATCCATAATTTAGAGACATTCTCATTATATTTGAAGAATATAGGGTAATATTTGATCATATTATAATATAAACTGTGTGACAAATAACTGCTGATAGGAGTTCAAAGCTAAGTTTGCATTAAAGTGGGAGTTATATACATCCTGAAGAACTTGAGAGAAGCCAGAAGAACAAACAAAATTTAAATAAATGGAAACTAAAACACTTCATGTATAATGTAGCAAAAGATGGGTTGAAGAAAAAGATAAAACAAAACTATCTTCAATGTAACTCATAATGTAGTCAAGAAGACAGTTCTATAAAAAGATAATTTTAGAGAATGAATGAAAAGGGATGAAAGTAGGGGCCAAGAAGGGATAGAATGACTGAATGAGTTATAAAAGAGTCAGCTTTGGTTTTCCAAATATAACATCCTTGTCTTATTCCTAGTGTAGAGGAAAAGCTTTCAGTCTTTCACCATTGGGTATGATGTTAGTTTTGGGTTTTTCAATATGATCTTTATTATGTTGAGGTAGTTTCCTTCTATTCCTAGTTTGAGGTGTTTTTTTAAAATCATGAAAGAGTGTTGTTTGTCAAATGTTTTTTTCTGTACCAATTAAGATGATCATGTTTTTGTTTTTCATTCTGTTAATGTGGTGTATTGCATTGATTGATTTTTCATGCTTTGAACTATCCTTGCATTGCTGCCTATCTTTGAATTAGTTTTGTTGGAATAAAGCCAACCTCGTTTGTTTACATATATTGCCTATGACTGCTTTCATACTACAAAGTCAGAAGTAAGTAGTTGTGACAGAGACCATATGGTTTGCAAAGCCTAAAATATTTATTATTTAGACCTTTATAGAAAACGTTTTCCAACCTCTGCTTCTAGAATCATCTGTATCTATATAATGCTTTAGTATGTCTTTAATAGATATTGTTCAATCTATACTGACTAACATTGTGTAAATCGCTTTTCTTAATAAACTTATGATTTATATTGTTACATAATAAGTAGGGGTTATAATGTGGTTATGGATAGTTTGCTTAAATAATGATTTTAAGAGATGTTAATTTGAATAATGAATTTGTTAATGTCTTTTCTCATTCAACTTTATGGCTTATACATATTTTAAAATGTCATACTCTGTATTGCTTAAGGAGTTTTATGTTTTCTTTTTCATAGGTATATGTGGAATTTGATGATCTTGAATGGGATAAACGAGAGTGGGTTAGAGTTTATGAAGATTTTTCAGCCTTTTTGGTGGAATACCACTTAATCTGGGCCAGAAGGAACGACCCTAGCCAGACTCAGGGATCAAAGAGCAAACAGATTCAGTGGCCTGCATTGGTAAGATCTCTTTCTGTTTTATTAAGCATTTCAGTTTGTTTTAAAAGAACAAGAACTGAATGTAAGTTTAGATTTATCTTGCTGATTATAGATTAATATTCTTGAAGAGGTTCTGACATATCTGACAGAAATGTCAAAATACTGCTTTCATTTTGTTAAAACAATTTTATGTGTCTTTGTTTTTTCTAACCTTTTCAAGGATGGAGAATTTATTCAGATAATATTTGAGAATTCATATATACCACATTAGGACAGTAATAATTAAAGGTAGAAATCTTACACTTTTCTTCATACCTGCTCTACTGTCCAACCATCACTGTCATTGCCATTTTGCTAAATGGAGGTTCATAGACAGTAATCACATAGGCAACTGCATGTGTCATAAAAATGAACAACTTTTTTGTTAAAAGATGTTTCTTTCTCTCTGGCTATATTTGCAATTCTCCAGTTAGTTCAGTACTTTAAAGGCTGCAGCTGCGTGCAAAAGAACTTCATTTTATGTTTCTGTGTATGTGTTTTTTAAAGTTAAGAAAGGTCTCCAGGAGATGGTGAATTTTATTTTGTCTGGTCAGTTTCATTTGCACTTGAATGATCCAGGGTGGAGAGAGACTCAGAGAAAGCACAGGATGTAGAGGTCTGTTCAGTGTAATCTCCCTCGTTTCCATCTTCACCATTAATGGAGAGAGGGGCATACTTGCTTGCAGAACTGAAGGAAGCTGGATTTACTTCAGGTTTCATTTACTCAGGTTCAGAATGGGAGTCTTGATCCTTTTTGCATCTTTGCTGTCTGACTCCTTCCATTGATCTTTGTTTCTTCCATCTCTTGGACCATGACTGGAGTTCCCACTTTTGCCTTTTGGGACACTCACCCCATCCACTTTATTTTCATCTGCTATCCTTGCTGGTCCTTCCTCAGATGGTTGAGCTGGAGCTACTTTCCCCCCACCACTAGAAGGAAAACATGTAATCACATCATTAGTCATCTTAAGGACGGAAGAGATAAGAAACTTATAATCACTCTCCAAGTGCAGTAAGCTTTACAGAGAACTAAAAATACATAACACTGAGGAACGTTAAAATACGGGAAAGACAACAACAAAAGCAATTACTTGAACACTAAGTGTCATGTCCTCTAGAATCATCACAATCACGCAAGGTTAATATTATTCTCTATTTTACAAATGAGGATCCTAAGACTTAGGGGTGTAGTTTCCCCCTCCCGCCACTGCCAATATGTGGCTGCTGTGGGTTCTGATTTATAAGTATTTGCAGATTTTGAGTAACCAAAGTGATGTCAACTAGCTATAAAAACTCTAGAAAATGGAACAATTGGTGCTTAGGAGCCAGCTCCAGTATTCCAATGAATCTGAACTATGAGAGCAAAGACAGGGATGGATGCTCTCTAAGGCCAACTCCCCATAGGGCATGTTTAATCATGACATCACAATATTTAAGATTCTAGAGCTAACCAACTGCTGCTTCCAAGCTGACTCACCTTGTAGGGGACTGCTGCTCTGTGTCTGAGCTCTGAGATCGAGCAGGAGGGTTAGAACTTCGCTTCACCCAAGCATTCTCCTTTGGTGGAGGGGCTGGCATTACCTTTAGAGGCTGTTCAGGTTTGGGAGGCTTAGAAGTTGGAGAGTGACAGTCTTCTTCCTTATTGAACGTTTCATTTTCTAGAGACTTCTCACTCTCTCTCCTTCGCGCATCTGTGAAGTCAGAGTGGGAGGTCACATTATCAGGAAAAAGGCTTATTGTATAACCATCTATCAGGATCTCAACAGAGAGGGAAACGGTCCACCTCCACAGTACTGCTATCATTTTTCTTTTTTTTGGTTAACCCTCACCCAAGGATATTTTTTCCAATGATTAAAAAAATAAAAAATAAAATAAAAAATGCTTTATTGATTTCAGAGAGAGGGAAGGAGAGGGAGAGAGAGAGAAACATCAATGTTGAGAATCATCGATTGGCCACCTCCTGCACGCGTCCTACTGGGGAATCGAGCCCACAACCCAGAAATGTGCCCTGACTGGGAACTGAACCATGACCTCCTGGTTCATGGGTGGACACACAACCACTGAACCACAATGGCTGGGCTCCAGTGATTTTTAGAAAGAGTGGNATTTGTAGCCGTTTGCTGCTCTGTGTCTGAACTCTGAGATGGAGCAGGAGGGTTAGTCTTTGCTTCAGCCAAGCATTCTCCTTTGGTGGAGGAGCTGGCATTACCTTTAAGGGCTACTCTGGTTTGGGAGACTTAGAAGTTGGAGAGTGGCAGTCTTCCTCCTTATTGGGTGTTTCTTTTTCTAGAGACTTCTCACACTCTCTCCTTTACACATGTCTAAGGTCCCAGTCTGTGATGACTCACTTCCTGACCTTAACTTTTTCCTCTCCTGTTCCTGAGTCTATTCACTTCACCATCTTGGATGTCTCTCTCAAGGTCACCATTCCAGTTTTAACTCATTCAGCTAACGCTGCAATTTCTCCTCTTTTTCTGTAGCCACTCCTCTACTCATTATCTAGCAGCTGTGTCAACAGGCTTTGCCCCTCCAAAGATAGAGGCTGCTCGACTGGACTGGAAGGTGCTAGCAGAGGAATCATCTTCTTTAGGAGTGCTCCAAGGCTTTAGATTCAGTTTGGGTCTTTGGGTGGGGGGACCCCTGTCATAACACCTGTAATCATTCCAAGAATAACCATCATGTTTGTCATGGGTCTTCATAGAGGTCCCCGCCTCCTCTTTAGTCATCTCTATGGTACCCACTACTAAATGCTCTTCTTCCACTGCCTATCCTGGAATAATAGCCTTTATCATAGTCTTCGCTGCCTCTTTCATCATAGCGATCCTGGCCCCCTGTATCGATGCATATCCTGGCTTGGGCTGTAATGATAACTGTGCCAGTACCCATCACAGTATTGGTGTGAATCATAATGATCTTGATACTTGTCTCCAAAGCTGTCATCTCCTCTTCTAGGTGGGTAGTTATCATAGCTGTCTGTAGCAGAACGGGCCCCCAGTGAGTATGTATTTTGTCAGAATCTGGATTTCTATCTCATCCAAAAGAACCATCATCCCTGTCTTTATCCTGTGCTTGATCAGCAATGTCGACTTAAATTCTCCTGTTACGTAGAGATTCTTCATTTAGGCTCAGGGGATTGAACAAGGAATCCAGGCCCTCATGCTCAGTGTAAACAAAACTTTTCAACCTCTCTGGATTACTGGATTCACTTGGAAAACAGACTGCACTTGTATTTAATCCCCTAAAGAACTCCTTAATGGAATCTTCTGTCACATCATAGGGCAGGTGCCCTAGAAAAGCAGTGTAGGGTGGCAGTTTGGGAAGACAGTTTCTGTCAATATTGGGTTCCTGAGCAACCTGTGGAGCAGTGGGGAGAATAGAACAGTCGGAGGTGCCCTATACACAGCATCATTACTGTGCCAAGTGGTTGAAACATCTCCTTCCAGGTTGTCTATTTCATGAACCCAGCTGACTGGTTTGGGGACATAGGTGCTTCCTCCACCAGTCCCTCCATCCTCAGCCAGAAAGTCTGTTAGGGACTTAGTCTTCCCCATCTTATTCTTTCTTTGCTGAGGCCGTCATGTTGAAAGAGGGAGAGAGAACACAAATGCTTTATGTGTTTTTTTGTTAGTATTCTTTCAGCCTATTTAGTCCACTAATAGTTTATTCTGTTCATTAGGGGAAACATAAATTGGATTAAAGGATACTAAAAGTTGACTGGTTTGCGTGGAACAACTTTGCTGAGTGAGACTTTGTAGGTGGATGATAGGATAATACTTTTTATAAAGCATTTAATAGCATATAATTTTCCTTGGATTGTAGATAATAGCAGATATTTAATGTGAAATTACATGTTCAGATAACAGGTAGAATTACTTCATATCAGGAAATGTTCCATTTAAGAAAATGTGGTAGATTACAATAAATTCTCAGTTAGTTTGAAGAGTTTTATAAAAGAAACATGCTAACTAAACAAGATCATTAATTGTATAAGGAAAAGAGCCACATCTGTTTAACCATTGTTATCCTTGTTTTCTGGCATTGGTTAGCTTATAATAGGTATGCAGTGTATGTATGAATAAAATAGTTTTCTTACATTAGTATCAAAGAAATATTTTAAAAACCTTTGCCCTTTCTTAAAATCAAGGTCAGTTTCTAATGTATATTCATAAATTACTTAGTATTTTGGAGAAAATTTCTGTAGGATATAGTTTAATAATTTTTTAAATAATTTTAGAAATTTGTGTTGAAAATCTTTTAACCTCACAAAACTGCTTAATCATTAAACCTCTTTTTAAATTTCAAATTAGTTTTTCTTAATGCACACAGAAAATATACACAATGTAAAAAATTTGGAAAATGATATAAAGTAGAACATCATAATCATTCTACTTTCACCACCAACTAGCCATCTTACATCTTTGATATATGTTTTTATAAAATATTTCTCTGCTTTCTTTTTTTTCTACCACAGCTTTTTTAAAAATGTTTTTTATTGGTTTTTAGAGAAAGAGAGAGGGATAGAGAGATAGAAACATCTGTGAGAGAGATACATCATCCATCCACTGCCTCCTGCATGCCCCTTACTGGGGATCGAACCTGAAACCTGGGCATGTGCCCTGCCTGGGAATCGAACCCCGTGACCTCTTGGTTCCTGGGTTGACACTCTGGTGCTGATCAGGCACCACCACAATTTTTTTTTTTTTTTAAATATGTCTTTATTGATTTTAGAGAGAGGAAGGGAGAGAGAAACATCAGTGATGAGAGATTCATGGATCAGCTGCCTTCTGCACACCCCCTACTGGGGATCAAGCCTGCAACCCGGACATGTGCCCTGACTGGGTATCAAACTGTGATCTCCTGCATCATAGGTGGATGCTCAACCACTGAGCCACACCAGCTGGACACCACCACAGATTTTTAAAAATTTTAATTACCCTAAAAATATTCTTGACATAAAACTTTTCATTTTAATCATTTTTAAGTATGAAGTTCAGTAGGATTAAATACATTTACATTGTTGTACAACCATCTATCTATAGAACTTATTCCATCTTGCAAAACGGAAACTCTGTACTCATATTCCCTCTCTTCAGCCCCTGGCAACCACCATTTTACTTTGTCTCTATGATTTTCACTACTTTAGGTATCTCATGTAAATGGAATCATACAGTATTTATCTTTTTGTGACAGGCTTATTTCACTTAGCACAATGTCTGCAAGGTTCATCCATGTTGTAGCCTGTGTTAGAATTTCCTTTATAAGGTTGAATAATATTCCATTGTGGGTATATGCCACATTGTATTTATCCATTTGTCTACTGATGGGCACTTGTGTTGTTTCCAACTCTTGGCTATTCTGGATAATACTGCGTGCATATGGGTGTACATACATGTCTTTTAGATTATGCTTTCAATTCTTTTGGGTATAATCCCAGAAGGGGATTGCTGGGTCATATGGTAATTCTGTTTTTAATTTTTTTGAGAAATTTCCATACATTTTCCCACAGCAATTCTGTTTTACATTCGCAGCAGCACCTGATATTTTTAATTTTTTTATAATAACCATCCTAATGGGAGTGAGGTGGTATGTCCTCATGGTTTTGATTTGCATTTCCCTAATGATTGGTTGTGTTGAATATCTTTCTTGTGCTTATTGGCCATTTGTATATCTTCTTTGGAGAAATGTGTATTCAAATTTTTTGCCCATTTTTGAATCGGGTTGTTTGTTTTTATGTTATTGAGTTTTAGGGGTTCTCTATATGTTTAATCCCTTATAAGATGTAACCTGCAAACATTTTTTTCCTATCTGTGGGTTGCTTTTTTTTACTCTGTTGATAGTATCTTTTGATGCACAAATATTTAAAATTTTCATGAAGTTCCATTTGTCTGTTTTTTCTTTTGTTACTTGTGCCTTTGGTGTCATATCCTAGAAATCATTTCCAAATTCAATGTCATGAATCTTTCTGAGAGTTTTGTTTTAGATCTTACATGTATGCCTTTGATCCGTTTTGAGTTAATTTTTGTTTATAGTTTTAGGTAAGGGTCCAACTTCCTTTGTGTGCTTGTGGATATCCAGTTTTCCCAGCACCATTTGTTGAAGAAAAGACTGTCTCTTGTCCTTTCTCCATTGAATGGCTTGGCACCGTTGGCAAAAACTATTTGAACATATATACAAGAATTTATTTCTGAGCTATTTCCTTAGTCTATATGTGTGTCTTGATTCCAGTACCACACTGTTTTGATTACTGTAGCTTTATAGTAAGTTTTGAATCCCAAAGTATGAGCCCTCCAGCTTGGTTCTTTTTCAAGATTGTTTTTGCTATTTTGTGTCCCATATGAGTTTTAGGATTTTGCTATTTCTGCAAGAAATGTTGGGATTTTGATAGGATTTACATTGAATCTGTAGATTGCTTTGGGTAATATTAACATGCTAATAAATATTAAACTTTCTAATCCATAAATGCAGGATGTCTTTCCATTTATTTATGTCATTAACCTTTAAAAGACAGCATTTAAATTCGGCCAGCATTTAAATTCGACCCGCTCCTTGCCGGGAACTAAAGTTCCCTTTCGTTGGATAAAGGTTAAATTTTTTTAGCAGTGTTTTGTAATTTTCAGTATATAAGTCTTTCACCTCTTTAGTTAATTCCTAAGTAATTTATTCCTTTTGATGCTATTCTAAATTGAATCGTTCTGTTAATTTTATTTTTAAATTGTTTGTTTTTAGAGTATGAAAATACAACTGGCTTATGTGTTCATTTTATATCCTTCTACTTAGTTAACATCATACTCAATTGTGAAACATTGGTAGCTTTTCTACTAAGATTGGGAACAATACAAGATGACATTCTATTCAAGATAGTATT